TATAGATATAGATATAGATATAGATATAGATATAGATATAGATATAGTGTATATGTATAGATAAATATATATACACACTTACACATATACAGGACATGATGCGGTTGGGAGGGGATTGTCTTGGCGGTAGATAATCATATTTCATTGTATACATGTGTAGAAGCCTCGTAGATACAATGTGTACATGTATGAAATTCTGAAAAGAATTAATAAGAATACAATATTTTAAAGGAAAAAGACAAATTTTGGCCAGCATGTTGCTACATGTGTGCCAGAGATTGAGGTAAGAGGATTGTGAGTTGAAGACCAACATAGACTACATAATGAGAACAGTTTTTTTTTTTTTGTTATTTTTCCTGTTTTGTAACATAGGTTTGTGTGTGTGTGTACTAGAGATTGAACTTAGGGCCTCACACATGCTAGGCGATCTAATTGGCCTATGTCCTCAGCTCTCTTTATCTTTTGATGTACATTCTTGCTAAGTTGTTCAAGGAGGTCTTGAACTTTGGATCCTCCTCTTCTAGTCACTCCATAAGCTGAGATTATAGACTTGTGCCACCAGGCCTGGCTATCTGTATCACTGAAAAAAAGATTATTTGTGGGCAGGAGAGATAGCTTAGTAGTTAAGAGCACTGTCTGTTCTTCCAAAGGACCCAGGTTCAATTCCCAGCACCCACATTATAGTTCACAACTGTCTGTAACTCCAGTTCCGAAGGATCTGACATACTCATACCAATGCACATAAAATAAAATTAAAATAAATTATAAAAAATATTTTCTGCATTTATTGCCATTCTTTACATATGAACACATATTCATATTCTAAAGGTTGGAATTTATTGTCCTTATGAAATGCAAAACATTGTACACCAATATGCAGAAAGCATTTGCCTATCTGGGTACTGCTGTGTTGAGGCTTAAGCCTTCCCTTTAAACAGTTCAACGATCTTTTATATCTTCCTTCCTGGGTCTGAGCACCCTTCTCCACTCCTGCCTTCTGGTTTGAACAATTACTTAGTCTTCTATTTCTGAAAGAAGGCAGGTAGCCTTTTGTGGGGCAGTGGACCATGCCACCAGACAGAAAACCTGGTAAGGCCGAGTGGATTCAGAAACTCTGGCAATTCTCATAATTGAGAATGGTAGGTGTTTAAATCTACTTCCAACCAAGTTCCTGTCCTGGAACACATGACCATGACACTCAATGAAGAGGATCGTGACAGTCATGTAGGCCTGAAGTCCCTTTACATGCAAATCAGGCATCCCTAACATCTCAGACCAAGCCAACAGACAGCATCTGCCTTTAGATCCCAACCCACCCCAAAATGTTAAAATGTTTATAAGGTTCTATCCACAAGGAATAAAGTGCATGAGTTATTTCACCAAAGACCGTCTGAGAGTGCCTGTTTTACCGAGCTGTAACACCCTTAGAGAAGAGAATTCTCCCCCACACCCCCGAACCTTTTGCAGCTGGAAGCTGCTCCAGCTACTTCCTGCTTAGTGGCCCTGACTTTGGCTCCTGGCTACCTGCTGTGTCCTGCTACCTGCCATCAACTCTGGGGCAGTGGCAACCATGGAAGAGGCCAGGTAGCCCGCTTTGCTCTAGTTCACCCTTGGAGAGCTGCAACTCTTTGGTCACTCTGGCCGGGCCAGAGCCCTGCAGATCTCCGAGGATAGTGCCCCTGGTATTCTGACTAGCAACCTTTATAGTGTTAAATCCCTTTCACTTTACCAAAGACAATTTAGGAATTATTTGTTGACTTAGCTAGGTTTGAGTATGGCTAGTTAGGATCAGTGTCTGGGAATGATGGGGCTGAGTCCCAGCGTGCCTGGGTGGTTGATTCCTCAGTTGTATGGTGGGAATGCATAGGTGCCAGGGTTGCTTAAGAGTTGGCAGAGACTGGTGTGTGGTAGGCAGGAGTAGGAGTGCCAGCTTACAGTCAGCCTTCTCTCTCCTGGTGTGTTACTTCCAGTCAAGCAAAGGTTGTTCTGGTTTATTCCTTGGCCAAAAAGGGTGGAGAAGTTGATCTGTGTGACATTCTATTTTATGAGTTGAAGATTCATAGAGTTGGATTTTCTTCTTGCCACTGAGAGTTATGTGGAACACGGTGTCAGAAAGTGAGTAGAACTTGTTCAGAGCAGGGCTTTGGCACTGATGACAGTGTGTCCCCAAAGGTCCGAGAATTTTAGGTTAACCTTGCATTAAACCTTGAGATGATGTTTGCTTTATTAGTTTTGCTTATGAAAAGATGTCAATTTTAACAACAGTTACTTCCTTTCCAGATATAATTATATTTGTATATTTTAGGTTGCCTGCTTGATTCGAGTTCCTTCTGAAGTGGTTAAGCAGAGGGCACAGGTGTCTGCTTCTTCAAAGACCTTGCAGATTTTTTCTACTATCCTAAGTGAGGAGGTAAGGCTTTAGGTCCCCTGTCATCTTCCTCTGCTGAGGAGATGGTATCTTAGTGAGAACACCGAAGGCTTGCTGTGTGAGCCCCGGGGACTTTAGGGTGGGTTTAATGTTCAATTACAATAACTTTTTTTGCTGGGATTATTTTCCTTTGTTTTTGAGTTATTGTCATTGTTTTGCTCAAATTTTGAAGCAGTCATGTATTAAGTGCCACCGCTGCATATGCCCCGAGTGTAATTTGTCTCAGGGTCAGAATCAGACAGACTGATCACGTGAGGGAACTAAGATACTCTTTTAAAACATTGCTTCAAAATTTGAGGGCCCATGAGAGAGAAGCAATATTTAATGTAAAAGTATAATACTGGGCTGATCATCATTACCAGAACATCATTACCATAGCATCATGATGTTATATGAAATTGTCTTTCCCCCTGGGTATGGGAGCACATGCCTTTAATCCCAGTGCTGTAAGTTTGATGTCAGCCTGATTTACACAGTGAGTTCCAGGCCAACCAAGACTACGTAGTCAGACCCTGCTACAGATAGATGGATGGTAGATAACAGATAGATGGACAGACAGACTGACCCTGCCTCAAAGAAACAAACAATAAGTAACTGCCCCTTCTCTTCCTGATCAATGCTGGCTGTGGCCGGATCTGCCCTCCCTAGACGCGTGGCTACTAGGCATGCTGCTGTTTTCCTGTATACATTTAGCAGGAGCCTCTGTTCTATTTTGCTTCAGTGTGCCGGTCAAAACTCGTTATGTTGCCTCATGCAGTGACTTTTTTTCTCCTCTTCCTTAACTAATGTGAACTGATCTTAGTTTAGGTTTTTTTTTAAAAAGTGGCTATTTGTTTGTATTTTGAAGGTGGGGCTTCCTATGTGGCCCTGGGTGGTATTCAGTCTTCTTCCTCACCCCTCCCAAGTGCTGAGATGACAGGGGTGTGTATCGTATCCCATTATCTTTCTGGTCTGTTACCAACTTTAGGAGTGAGACCATTCCTGTGGCCACTTATTGGACTACATGTGTGCTTAAGCATATAATGCTAGGATTACCTGCAATATGTACCTTACTGAGAGGTTATTGGCAAATTTCTGAAGTATGTCTTACATATATATTAAAGGATAATAAATGTTTTATATACTGGATTTTGGAAATGTATATAATGTAATTTTTTTCAAAAGATAAAAATGCAGTTACTTATACTATGTAGCTTGTTTCATTATTAGAGATATCATGAACTTGTGACTTATGTAGCTTAAACCACTTTAGAATGTGTAACTCAGTGGCTAGTGAGTGTCTTAGAACTCAAAATTTAGAACATGTAAGTCTCCATCTAGAATGTTCTTCACAAATCTTTGTTGTTCCAGGTTTTTAATCACTTGACTTTCATTTGTTTCAGGGCATCCAAGGACTGTACCGAGGCTATAAAAGCACAGTTTTAAGAGAGGTAACTCAGTCATTACTCCTGAAGTCCCAAACAATGATGGCTGTTGACTGGTGAACCTACATTTCATTTCTTACATATCAGAAATATGTTGGAGAAACTGGCTTAAGAAATCAAAAAGAGGGGCTGGAGAGATGGCTCAGTGGTTAAGAGCACTGGGTACTCTTTCAGAGGCCCTGAGTTCAATTCTCAGCATCTCATGGTGGTTCAGAGCCATCTATAATATGATCTGATGCCCTCTCCTGTTGTGCAGACATCCAGGAAGACAGAGGAGTCATATACGTAAATAAATAAATCTTCAAAAAAAGTTGAAAGAAGAGTGGCGTCACCCAGAAACTGTTCAGTTGCACCGTGGTTGTTTTCATCTAGAAGAATGCCTGTGATGGTTTGCTGAATGGGCTGGTGTCATTGTCATCCTAGCTAAGTGTCTTGTAGCTGAGACAGTAAGGAGGAACTACTAAGTGAATGACAGCAAGTTCATAGCAAGGTTGATTATGCAAGAAGCACTCCAAAGATACATGCTTGGTGGGACATATGTTCCCACCACATGGACACCCATGCCCACCACAGGGAGGTAGCTTTGGTCTCCGATAGGAAGTGCAGTGGGCTGAGGAACTCATTCTGGAGAAAAACCTGGCCCTTTCATCTTGTGCCTTCTAGCTAACATGCTATACTGGTTTTTTTTGGAGAGGGATGGGGTGGGAGAGGGAGCGATAAAGCAAGACTTGGCCCTCAATAATGACCTTACTAATGCTGTAGACAGCATGCTTTAGTCTTTTATACAGTGAAATATAAGAAACAATTTTGGTCCAGGACACAGTTTTCTGTGACAGAAGGAGCAACTTGTCAATGTTTCCTCCTCCTTTTGTAGTCCTGGGACTAAAGCATTTTAACTTGTAAAAGTATTTCTAGTGTAAATAAAGGGGCAATTAGTAGAATATTGAAATTGGTTGAAGGCTCTTGTTTGGTACTCCTGTGGCTCACAAGAAGCATCTTTAGCCTTAGGATGCACTGGAAGTGTGTGGTGTGGCTGAAAGCTTTGGTGTTCACTAGCAGCCTGCAGTATAGCCTTGTTGCTGTAGAGCCTGACAGAGCTCTCCTTTTGCCAGACTGAGTGGCCTGTCTTTACTTGCCACTGTCTGGCTGAAATATCACCAGTGTGAATCTCCTTCTGCCCTTTCTTTCTGACTCACTGCATCTGTGTGATTTGCCCAGCTTACACCTAGAAGCAAGAAAAAGGGGAGGAAAGTAATCAACGTGTTTTATTTTTCTGAAAAGGGCTGAATAAATGAATATATTTCCATTCCAGAGAGTGTTAGTTTTTCACAAACGCTCACAACTGTTGTTCCAGTCTTTAAAAATTTGTTTTGACATATGTCATGCTAGTAATTAATTTTTTGGCTACAATCCTTGCGAATTGGGTGACCTTACTGAGATGACTTTGTTTACTCGAAATGGCTGTGCTTTGTTGGCAGTTTAATTGGGGTCTTGAGCATTACGTATGCTCATGAAGGCCTTCAGAGCCGATCTCGCTTGAGGTGTGTTACTCTGTACGTTCTCAGCTGGAACGAGAGGGGAATTACTGCAGAATGAAATGTAGCTTCTCTTCCAAGTGAGACAAATCAGAAGTGATATGTCTGCTTTAAACAACATTTTTGCATTATGAGGAGTTTTGAGCCTTACATTATCCTGACAGTAATATCAAATCTTTTTGTCTGGAGCCGTTTGATTGTTTCAATAAGAAATATACAGAAGCTTTGGAAAGAACCACCAGGAATTGTGTGCTATTTGTTCAGTGGGATTTTTTTTTCTTTAAAATAGTTTTCTCTCACTAGCCTTTAGGAGGAGATTGGGTTCATGCATTATAAGCAAGATACGTGATTTCTGGGCTTTCCTAGCACTGTCATATGCATTGCGCTGTACTTGATGTTTGTAGATATTGTATACGTATCCTCTTGCTCATCTGAACTAGTTCAGTCTCTGTGTGGTTTACATTGAGTCTAGTCAAGGTCAACAGATTAGACTGTTTACCTCACCTTTTCTCTTCTCATCTTTCTCATGGACTTGACCATATTAGCTATGACTGAGTATCTTGGTGCCTTGAGGTAATTGCAGTAAGATGCTGTGAGCATAGTCAAGATGATTTCAGGCCCACTGGCTTAAAAGTTCTGGGCAAACTTGATTCACTCTGTTGAATATGACATAGAAGGACTTTGGTAGGTAAAGAAAGCAGAGTAAAGCCATCTGTTTCAAAAGAACTTAAAGTAAGTTAAGTTTAGCTGATGCCGTTAGTCTACAGATTCTACTCAGTATTATGAAGAATAGCTCTGCCCTGATGGGGAAGCACATGGAGAGTCTTTTTTGCCACAGTTAAGGGCTGCTGAGGTGATACACCTGAGTGGTCAGGGGAAGCCCACCTGCAGTGCCTCTCAGCATCTGTCATATAGAAGCAAGCCTTAGGGCTAGAGAGGTGGCTCAGGTGGTAAAGTACCTGCCACCCAAGTGTGAGGACCTGAGTTTCAATCCCTCACCACCCACATAAAAAGAGGGTTGTGTTGACATTTGCCTATAATCCCAGGGTTGGAGAAGCAGAGGTATTCAGATCCCTGGAGCTCAATGGACACCCAGCTAAATTGATAGGTTCCAGGTTTGGTGAGATATTATGTTCAAAAAATGAGATAGAAAGTGATCAAGGAATACATCTGATATTGATCTTTCACCTTCACATGCACACACTTGCATGCATGTGTATGTGAAGTACACACATGTGCCTACCAGACACAAATGATGGCACAAATGATGGCACAAAATGAGCCATAATTCTTGAATGCTTTCCAGTTAGAAGTAGTCAAAGAAAACAAGCAAATAGAATAGTCTGATCAAAGACAGGGAAGAACTGTATGCATGCATGCATATTTGTGTATGTGTGTGTATAGAATAGGGAATTTCATAGGTTTGTCAGATGAATCTCAAGCCAAGGGAAGATCCTTTCAAAGAGTACTGATGAGGTGGGGTACTTGCATGGAACCTCTCAATTTAGCTGCATGTTTGCTAGAAGGCTGGAGGAAAAAACATGGAAGATACCCCAGAAAGAGCCTGACTTTGTGTCCTTGAAGTGTAGAGGAGAAATTTCCAGTTTGTGGCTCTTGCTGGTCAGATGTGAAGGGACGATGACTGTTGGTGCTCTGTCAGTGATAGAAATTTCCACCGTTGGGATACACCTTTAATCCCAGCACTCTCGACGACGAGGTGGGTGAATCTCTGAGTTCAGAGGGCTACAGTGTGAGTTCCAGGACAGCCAAGGCTGCACAGAGAAACCCTGTCTTGAAAAACAAAAAACAAACAAGAACAACAAAAGAGTAACTCCTGGTTTCTTGTACATGGGTGTAGTCACTCAATAGTCTGGAGGTATTTAAGGATATCTTCTTCACCTCCCTACTTCCAAGCAGGCCAAATGTACAGCCTGTTCTATAAATCCGAGGGCCCAAATTGAGATTGAAAAGTCATTGACTAGCTCACTCCAGAGGAGATCATGTCACTTCACAAAATCAGTCACTTTCATTATCCTGTCCAGCAACAAACATGCCTCCTTAAAGATGCCTGTGGGTTGTCCTTAAAATTTTCTTTCTGATTCTGCTGTCTTCCCTCTGTTGGTGTCCCCCACCCCCACCCCCAAGTTCTTTCTGTTGTTGTAGTCTCCTGAGTGCCTTCTCTGGCTATTCGCTTGATCCTTCAAGCTCTGTTTTATGGTAATGGTCTTTGCTAACCAAATATATTTTTTGGATAATTTTTTTCTTTACAATTGTGTAGTGCCTGATTGTACAAGTGAGCCAGCCCCCTGTTGGTGGTCATTACAGCTTTGCACCAATATGTAATACCATTTATTTGTCCTCTCATACATGGTTCAGGATTGTAGGTTATATGTCGAGACAGAACAATTTAGCTAAAGAAAGAAATGTGTAATTTTGACAGATATGAAGTTGCAGTTCACAGAAATTCTGGTCTATATTTCTGTTGAGAATATGGAAGCTCCCCTGTTTTCTGGCTTTCTAGTGGTGCTATCTGTCTGTAAGCTGAAAATAATGTCACCTGGGTTTTAATTTTGAGTTATACTGAATGTATTAACATCTGTGTTAGAACTCTATTGTTTATTGGATTATTTGAACTATCTACCACTTTTTGGAGAATTAACCAGGGGATTTATGTAAATCTCTTTTGTCATGCCTCTTCCTTAATATGAACTCAAAAAATATGAACTAAGTTTGTTTGTATTCTTGGTAATCAAGAGTCTGTAAAGTTGGAGGCAGAGGGATGACTAGTTTGAGGCCTGTATGAGGGATATAGCAAGATTCTGTCTTCAAAGAAAACCAAAGCCAGAAAAAAAGCCTTTAACAGTAAAAGATACCAACATGTAAGGTACAACTCTGCCCCCATATAGCTGTCTGCAGTTGGCAAGTAATGTTTCTCTGTTTCCCCTGCTTGGCTGGGAACCCTTCATACACTGTTCTACTAAAATCTTAGATAGTTTTGAAAGTTGTTAGGGTAGTAGAGCCTACCTTGACACCCAGACTTAAAATTGACTTGAGGTTAAGTCCTTGCCTCCAGAAGCCACTTGAATCTGTCTGCATTTGAATGTGTGACTGTGGCTCATGATAGTAGGTGTTCAAAAGAGGGGCCCAACGACTGCTGTTGCTCAGCCAAGGGGCAAGATGCTTCATCAGATGTCAGGGAGAGAGGAGCTTTATCATTGTAAATAGAATGTGGGTATAGTTACCCTAATGGTTGAACTTCCAAAATCATTAATCTAAGTAGGTTGGGAAAAATTGTGATTTAAAAAAATTTGTTGCTAATTTGCTGTAAAAATTTGCTTCCCCCCAAATAAGAGCAGCATCTCGGTTTGCTTTCTATTGCTATGGTAAAACATTCTGACCAAGAGCAACTTGGGGAGGAAAGGGTTATTTGACTTACATCTCCATGTCAGTCATCATTGAGGGAAGTCACTC